TCTGAAGGCCAAGCCGGACCAAGGAAAGGTTTTCCGCGCCAGCTCGCTATGGTCGTCTAGTGGCCACTTTGTTAGGACGGGGTTTGCCACCCGGTTCTGCGACTGGCGGTTCATCCACAGGGCCAGGCTGGACTGCGTCCCTCTCAACTGGTGATAAGCGATGCAGGAGGTGCAGCACCCTACTGCACGTGCTCAACCACTGCAGGATGCACTCTGCGGCCGTACAGGGCGGGTTCGTCAAAGCTATCCCGACGCGCGGCGGCAACATCAGCGTCAGGGTGAACCAGCGACCAACCCTGGTGCAGTATGATCTCCGGCCGGACATCCAGATTGTGGATGAAGGAAGGAAGCGCGTCGTCCTCATCGACCTGGCCATTCCCTTCGAGGACGGTCTAGATGCCCTCCTGAGGTGTCGACTCCAAAAGGTCGATAAATACACGCCGCTCGCCGCCAGCCTGGAGTCGGCCGGCTACCAGACGGAAGTCCACGCTCTCCTGGTCGGGACCTTGGGGTCATGGGACCCAGCGAACGAGGCAGCATTACGTGTGGCTGGCGTCCATCGAAGATTTGCTCCCCTGATGCGGAAGCTTATGACATCCGACGTCATCAGGAGGAGCAGAGACATATACATCGAGCATGTAAGTGGACGCCGCCAATATTAATTGTCCGGCCTGATGGCCGCGTATTTTTGTATCTATAACATTATTTGCCTATTTTTTTTTGTATAATTCTTCATTTTTCATGGTTATTTGATATTTGGGTTGCCTATTAAAAGCTTGTAATTCTTATTTAATCTATTATGTACAATGTACATGTCTTGTAGTTTTAAATTACTAAATAATAATATTTTTTATGAGAAAATAGTTATTTAAAAAGAACAATATATTTATTTTTAGTCATAAAATGTTTTTATTTAGAATTTAAAGTTATTAATTGAATACATTACAATAAGTTAAAAATGGTACAAAATAATTTAAATAATAATATTAATTCGAACTATTATGTAAGTTTTTATAATATAAATTAAATTAAATATATGAAAGTAAAAAAAATTCTTATGAATATATACATTTTCTAAATGATATAGATTTTATTTGTTTCAATTTTCAAATGAGTGATGTAATTTGAAGATTTTATAAGTAATTTGAATATTTCTTAACAATTCTTAATACAGAATTTTATTGTAAAATTATTATTATTTATAGATTTTAAGGGTCTTTCAGAAATGTAACAAAAATGTCTACCGCCAATACCAAATTTGATCTAAAAATGTACAAAACCTATGAACCTAAATATTCTTTTTAAAAACAACCCGTTAACATAAACCCCTCTTAACGCACCAAACCAGAAGTCACCAACCAGTACCACCGGTATCGGCACACGTAAATAAATTTAGAAATAATGTTAGTGATTCAATTTAGAGCATTTTGGAAGCTCCAATTAACTGATTAGTAAAGAAACGCTGTGAAAATATTTCGATGAATATATTCGATTAGTAAAGAATGAGTTGTAAAAATATGCTGTAACTTTCTTTTTTAGTATATAAAATATTTTATTTCCCTTATAAAATTATTTTAGTTTTGATCCACGTTAAGAAAAAATATTTTCCAGTTTTTAAAACTATATTATCGCTTTTTCTATAGCAAATATCTCCCTTTATTGGGATAAGTATAATTTTGACCTTGACTTTTTGTAAATGTTCTTTATTTTAATGAATATTTGGTCGCTTTTGTAGTATATAAAATATTAATATTTTTTATTGATATTTTAGAAAAGAAACGTGTATGTAAATATTTTTTCGTTTTGTAGTTGATTTTTTGTGAAACATCGCCATCTTACTAAAATAATCATTTAAAAAAATATGCGTTAGAGGACGTTGCAGAATATGCGGATTGAATGATTCGAAGATATACATAAAGCTTTAAAGTTATGTGATAATTGGGTTGCCTATTGTAAACATATAAATCTTATTTAATCACACTTGTATCAAGGGTTGCCAGTGCGTTTCAATAATTGTATGATCGTCCCACGTGATTGAACTTGATCATAAGAAAGTATTGTTAAATTGGAGCATTAACTATGAATTAGTAGCTCACAATATTTTATTTGAGAGATTCTGTAATAAAATATTGATTTCTGTTGATTAAAGTGGTCATAGTTTTATTTCATGTTAACAGATAAAATATTTTATTCATGGTCAATTTGCTATACAATTGTGATACAGATTATTTTGGTAGTAAGAATACTGCGTTGAAAAAGAACACTATATATTGTGATTAAAAACAAAAATATAATCTTTTTAGTATGATTTTATAATAAATAATATTTATTTGACCCCACGGACCACTAAACTCAAAATGTTTAATCCCGCACACCACTACAAGGATTAAAAAGAAATAAGATTCTAAATATGATATAGTATTTACATTGGGCCTTTTATAAAAACGTAACTTAATAATGTGAAAATTGCACTGGGGTCGCCTCTGTAATATAGAATTTATTATTTCATATATTTGGTCGCCTGTATCACGAAAATATGATACGAAGGGTCGTTGGTTCAATTCCGAAACATCAACAAAAATTTGTGGTGGCTATTAAACCCGAAAGGGGTAGAAATAGGGCCGGAGAGAATTATATCAATAAATAAATTGATATAAATCTCTTTATAAAAAAAATGCATATATTGGAATTATTATATTTATTTACTACTTTGCTGTATTCTTAATAAATATTTCTTAATAAAAGCAGGTTTTGCTGCTAATCCCATATATTTTAGCAGGATTTGATACCGAATACAAACTAGTTTTCACAAACGCACTTAAGTCAAACATTTTTAAGTAGAAAAGCATGTAATAAAATTATATAATGTAAATATTTTTTTATTGATAATTATTTCACGTTTTTTTGTTATTGATTATGAATCTATTATTTATAAGTTCTTTATTATGTTTTTTTTACCTAAGAATGTATTTTTTTTATTTTCGTATCTTATTTTTATATGTTTATGTTATTGTTTCTTGGGACCCTCGACTAAATCTATTTGGGAGTACCCAATTAATCAAAGTTTGGGTTAGTTGTATTCACTTTTTTTTTGATTGAGTAGAACACTGGATCTTGCCTAAATCTGCCCTAAAATAAATGTTGTTCTCATAAATTAGCAACTAAAACTATAAGTAAGACTATACTTAAATAATAAACTGGTTTGCTATAATAATTTTAATATTTATTGCAACATTAACATGAGTATGAGACAATTATCAGATATTATTTTATTATGTTATTTATTATGTATGTGACATATTGTGAATATTAATTAAAAGTTATAAAAAAAAATATAAATTCGAGTGAAAGTGCGTTCGGCCTGTAATATTGATGCATTTTTAATGTAACTAAATGAAAACACTACAGATAATTATTTATTATCTGTATCCCTTTACCTTTCCAAGGCGTTAACATAAAAAATGGAAAACCAAGAATGATCAGGCATTGAAGATCTTTGAAGTTCATAACGTAAATGTTATTGGAAGTGTGTTGCAAGAGCGTTTTGGTGAAAAATGATAAGAATAGTAATTTGAGAAGGTAAAGGATAGGGACATATAGGAATTAGCTAGGTCGGATTTAGGCATGGACTTTATGGACTATAGCCAAAAGTCCTCTACAATCAATCGTTCCTAATTGGGCCACCAATTTTAGTTAACAGTGTCAATATCTTGTCAGTGTCTTCAAAGAATATCAGTCTAGGGATCCCAAACAGTGTTAGTCCAGGAACATTTTAAAAGTTTTAAGCACAGGCCTGATGTTAACGGTCCGTCCCGGGCAATCAGTGATTTCAGAGTGATGGACAAATGATGTAAGTGTGCGGGTTTCAACTCCGTAGCATTGTCATGATTCCCCTATCTCGTTCATCTGTCCTAGCGTTTAGGATTAAAACATTGTATTATCAAATTTATAGAATGGTTGGAAAAGTCGTTGATTCAAGATTAATAAAAAATAAGAGAAACAAATATAACAATAATATTAAATCGTATACTATAGTTAATTCATTAAGTAAATACTATTGGAAGATACAATTGTTTTGAATAAGTTGAATCTGAATAGAAAGTTGCATATTCATATGGGGCAGTGCCATGAAGTGAACAATCTGCACTGTCCTTTTGTTCGATTAGGAAGTCAACCAGTGATCTGCATACATCATTTAAAGACTGTACGATGCTTATAATAATTTTCATTCAGCTCGATCTATTGGTGTGAATAAAAGCAGTATCGTATATATTTTGTAAGAAGCGTAAATTGAGTTGCATATAATATAATTGTAAATAATGAAACAAAAAAAATATCACATAATCCAATACGACAACTCAAAGAAATAAAAAGAAACACAGAAATGATGGAAAAACTAATGGCCACAATAATAAATAATGTAAAAGTAGATTCAAGTTTCATATGTAACATTTCCATGAACGAACAATTGATGCAAAAAAAAAGAGTCTACATATCAATGGGGTTGCTTGGAAGAAGATAAATACAATACGCCATTTGGATCATAACATTAAAGCTCTTACATAAAATCAATGTAGAGTAGAAAAAGTCGACAAGAAAGAATATATTATTTCGACAAATTGCTCTCAGCTCTCACAGTTTTGTCTATAGATCCTATGTTGGAAAATTAAATTCACTAGTAAAAATAGCAATTGTAATATAATATCTAAAAATTGACTCTCTGCTCAAGTGCTAGAACGATTTACCCCAGTGTGCTGTTAGGTAAAAAGTTTGATATCTGATTTTCTTTGTTCCCGGGAAACGATAAATTTAAGAATTATTTTATTTTTTCCACTAAAAAAACACGAAATGCAATCTTTGCAGTTTCTTTAAACTTTTCTTCCCTGATATCAACCATCATTCTCATTCTGAAAAAGGATAATACCACCTAACAAATTCTTCTGTTAAAACAAAATCCCTTATAAAATTCATTTACTTATAACTTACAAATCCGAGGTCAATTTCTCTTTGTAACAGTTAATTATTTTTTATTTGTTTCAGTCATACACTGTTACAATAAATGTTATTTTTGTATATGATGATTTATTTTTGAAAGATTCATATATAAAACGTATTTTATATGTACTTTTTTGTACCCTCAATATTAAAATATTCACTTTGTCACAAAAATACACAAGAAATGATCTGATAATATTTCAGCGAGATATTAGTAAAACATGATTGGATGGTTTGGATTCGTACCTCTAGTTTAAAAAATAAAATAACAATTTAAAGGAATCCAATCCTGGAATTAAGTCTAAATATCTAGAAGAAGTTAGACAGTTTTTTTTATAAATATTTGCAATCAATGTATTGAGAAATAGTCAGCCAACTTTGCAGAATTGAAGAACTTGCAGAGGATTAAAATTGAATATGTTTGAAATATGTATAATAATATGAACAAACAGTTATAATTGATACAACAACTTCATTAAAATAAACAAAAAAATGCAAGAAAAGTGAGATTTCTAATGGAATTAATTGTATTTTAACTGTTTTGTGCTGCGAGTCATGCAACTAGTAACATCTCAAATAATTCTTCCTTTGTCCTTATGATGTGTATAGGCGTTGTATTATGGCACGTTGCAATCAAGTTATA